GATCATCTCACACATACACCTCCTCGAGTGCCAAACTTCAGATATAAATCTCAGATTCTGATGTTACTAATACTCACTTTACTCCACTAATTTTGATAGTATTTCAGGACTGCACCAGGATGAAGAAGTCTGATCTCATTGAAATGAGCCACTTCAGAAGGCTGTCCAAGCCACCTGTCTTCAAAGGTGTACCCGCTGATCACGAAGCATATCCCATGACACCAGAATGAGGCAAGGTGAAAACTGCTGTTTGGGGAAGTTTCAGTGCAAAGACTCCACATGATCCAAGGTACATCCAGACAAAAGTGACTTTGGGGTGTTCCAATGATCAGAAACAGCCACAGCTGATACCCTGTGTATGGGTTGAAGCAGTCTACACCATCATTCCTCCTATTACGTATGATTTTGATAAAAATCACATACCTTCTATCACCACCTCTATATGAATAACTAAGCTGAGATGAACCCAAACTGCACTGACAAGTTTGACTTCTGCAGCTGTGTACTGTAGATTGCCCTATTGTAGGCTTGTCTGATAAGTACACATAGCCTAGCTAAGCTTTTAAAGGACAAGCTGTTTCATACAAAGCTACAGTTTTCACTGAAAGTTACTAGGTTTTAGTTTACAGTTGGTATTTAGGTGCTACATTCATGTAGAATTTAATGGTGGAATCAAGCTAAAGGTGAACCTATGGATTTATTCATTCTAGAGTTTTCTCTTCATTCTACTATTTCTTTATTGTTTTCCCACCATTTATTTTATAGGAAATAACTGCCACTACAGTAGATTACAGTCTTCTCCTTTATAGGATATAAAAATATAGTCTGCATCAGAGCTATCTTTCTTCCTCCTCATGATCTTGGTAAAATGCAGGGTGTGCTTCTAAGGCAGGTTAGGAACATGTCTTGGCTTGAAAACAAAGTTGGTACCTCTCAGCAGGGATGATGAACTGCTCTAAAACACATTTTAATTTGACTCAACTATTGTTCATTATAAAAGCTTCTAGTTATCTTGAAAGGTAGTAACATTGACTGAGAACTGCAAAGAATTTTTCAAAGAACAAAAGCCTAGGGAGAGAGAGTAGTCAAGGGTGCAAATGATTTGAATATTTTGTATTAATAAAATATCATTACTGTTAGTAAAAAGGTGAAATAGTACAATAGTGCCACGCATCTTCCTCCACTTAAATCTGCAATAGTAGCATTGCTCACTGGGCCAAATTCTGCGGTATGCGAGGGCTTCCCAGAAAATGCTGAATTGAGATTCTTTGAGATCATCTGAAATCTTATTTGGAGCTTGTTAAATGAGTAAAGCACTTCTTAAAAGACAAACTAAAATCTTATATACATAGATTATGCATATTGACCACTACATTATTATAACGTGCGAAAATCCTTTTGATAGCTTGTTGATAACTTGACTTCATGTAATTTAAGTGACCATTATTTGCTAAGATACTGCGTAAGACAGTGTTTGGAAAGGAGCCAAAACCCAACAACAACAACAACAACAAAATAGAAAGACAGGAGTGAAATCAGATTAAACTGTAAATATGTGGTTGGCATAGGTTTCGCAAGCAGTATGGAACATATGGAATGCAGAATCTAGTGTCATTTCTTGGAAAAACTAGTATTAAATTATGGACAAATATGCCTGAGCCAAACAAACTACAACATTTTTTTCAGTTCCTAAATACATAATATGACAAAGAAATAAAATTAGGAAAGAAAAGTGTTCTGCTGGAAAGCACCACTTTGTAACAGATATAAGAAGTGTACCTCCCATCTTAATTTATTACTCATACTGTAACTGAACATGAAAATTAATATTCTTCAGTAAAAAAACCCAAAACAACTTCCTGTGACCTTAAATTGACAGTCCTGTGTACCTTAACATACAGCAGAAGGTAAAAAAGAAGTCACTAAAATCAGTAACATTGACATGATACTAAATAATATGCTAAGTGCAAATCCACCTTGTCAAACTCCCCTCAGTATTACACACGACTATTAATAAAATGCATTATTTTAGCCAATTGCATACATTTGAGCATTCAACATGCTCAGTTTATTACTCGTGAAACTCTGAAATTTGGGGTTGTCAAGCAACGTCTCTCCGTCACACGTTCCATAACTTTCATCAGTGCATGCCCACACAGACCTCATCAAGTAGCCAAAGAGTTGCCCTTTCACTGTGAGCAAATGACTAATATCTAAGCTGGCTCTAAAGAAAGACACTTTTCATAATCGTCCAACAATCTGCTAAGTGAAAACATACGGATAGGCTTAGGTAAAGCCTGCAAGGGGTCTTTACTGAATGGAAAACAGGTGCTCCAGTTCTGTGCCATGTAATACCCCATTTACTGTTAAGTCCAAAGGTTACAGGACTAACAGCTGCCTTGTGGTTATCAGGGAAAGCAAAGACACTGGCCATGGTCAGACATCTGGGATGTATTTTACATTACTTGCAACATATGCTTCAGTTTCAGTTAAAGTGAAGCTTTGGCACGTTTATTAATCTTTTTACTTTTATCGCATAAGAAGACCCATTTACCTGAGTTTTCTATTATACCATATGAAAAAACAAAGAAATAATAAAAGCCAGAGGCCACTATCAGGTGGTGTTACAAAACAGGCATATGTTTTCTCACAAAACTTCATTTTGGACATGGCTTTAAGAAAACACATATATGAACTAAAATAATAGAAAACTGTACCCTTCCACTTTGACAAGAAGATGCAAGAAGGATAGCAGTAGTTCACAGTATGTCTCATACACTAGAAAGGAAAAAACACCCTACCAGCTTCTAAGAACAAACAGTTCAGTCCTGACAATGTGTGGATGTTTTACAGTTTTGCCCAGTGCAAAATAATGCCCACTGTATAGAGTACTGAATGTACATGGTAGTTCATACATGCTTACTTTAAAAAGTGCGATTTTCTTTTTCCATTCAAACAGCATATTCAATCATGAGAACTCAAAATGTTTGCAATGATGAAGACAGCTTTGAATTTATAAAAATCTACCTAAACACTTTCTGTATAGAAAGACAGCTCTTAAATATTCAATAAAAGAGCTCACTGAATGCACATGGTAATGTCAGTACTCACTTTTATTCAACCTTAGTAACTAGATCTAGAAAAATGTTTGAACTTTCGTGTCAATTTGAGAAAGCTGAATATTAGATCACAACGTTGAAACCTAGACTGATATTTCTAATTGGGTATGTTTTGCCTGGCATCTGCTAATTGCCTGGGA